GGGTTTCTCTTAGCAGTGGTGGCTACATTTCTTCTGCCTGCTCCAGATTTCTTCTAATTGAGTCAGCACTGGCTTCACCACATTTTATTACTCTCATTTATTGCAACTACTACCTATCAAATTAATTGCTGTGTTTTGACAGACCCAATTTACTTTCCCATTATGGCTGCTATTACTATTGATGAAATGTGCTTGGCAGCTCCTGGATGGGGGATCAGTCTGTATTTACGAAGCCTGCTCTGTTTCCAGCCTTCCCAAAAAGAGAGCAAAAGAGCCGTCCCTCCCCTTGGGGCCATGCTGGCCATGCAGGCTAGGCCCCAGCAAGCCAGAGGGGAGAGGAGGGTAAAAAAGGGGCTGGCCCAGGTCTCCAAGCAGGAACAGCTTCCCCCGAAGTACTTGGCTCGTGGGGGCTTTGTGCTGAGAAAATCCCAGGGCTTGGTGCCATTGGGCTGCTCCAAAATAGGCGTCAGACGTCCCCCTGGGACAGCCAGGTTTACAGCATCATCTTTGACAAGGGAATGGCTGCAGGTTGGGATTAAATTTACCAGATGTTTCCACTAAAGCTGCTGCCTTGGTTTCTGCTGGTGCTCGGTGGCCGTCTCTGCAGTCCCAGGAAGATTTTGGGCAGGTAACACGTAGGTGCTGTCAGAACAGAGTCAAACCCAAGCAAAAGCAGCGTCAATTTTCACTGTAAAGAGAGAACTGCACGTCTTGTGGGAAGAGCCGTGCCCCGCGGCGTGCGTGGGTATCACCACAGTCTGACTGAGGACCAGGGCACCCGCTACGGCACAGGATTTTCCTCTGGTAAAGACCCACCCTCAGCTGGACCCTCTGGTGTGCTCTGTCCATGCCGAGCACAGCCGCTGCACCCCCACGGCATGTGGGGGTGACACCATGACCCTGACAGGCCACAAAACCCCCGGAGGGGCCAAATTACATGGCCGGGGGGAGCAGAGCCGGGCAGCAGCAGCGTGCTGGATGCCGCCTGCGGCTGTCAGCAGGAGCAGGAGCGGGTTTGTGCCAGTGCTGCCGGTGCCTGTCCTCATCTGTCCTTTGGGCTGCAAGTGCACGTGACTGACGCTCCATCCTCCATCGCACTCTGCGCGCTAGGCTTGTTAGGTACGGAAATACAAGCTCTTTTGCCTGCTGCCATCATCTCCATGATCACTTTCTTCCTTTGTCTCATTGTTTTGCTCTCAGGGACAGACTCCTCTTAAACACATCTGTATATTTGCATCCGTCTTTAAGGTAATTCAGTGTTTGTGTTTCCCCTGGGTGCTGTAGAAGTGCGTGTCCTCTCCTCAGCCTCCGTGATTTGTGTGGTAGTGAGAGCATTCGGCTCCATCCTTCCTCCCTGTAGGAGCAATTTCACGGCAGTAATTCTGTGTGTGTGACACTAATGTTTATGTATGCTGGGTTTTATTATGATTATTTGTGGCTCTTCGGTGTTTCAGCCTTCTTTGGGGGAGGGGGATGGTGGAAAAAGCCAGTTGGGTTTTAGCAGGAACTGCTGCCCTGCCCATGGCAGGGGGGTTGGAACTAGATGATCTTTAAGGTCCCTTCCAACCCAAACCAGTCTGTGATTCTATGATTCTATGCTGCTCAGCCCCACATTTGCCAAGGAAGAACCACAGAATTTGGGAAAGGCTGAAGCTGAGCTTTGTAATTGGGGCTCAGGTTTAATATTTAGTGGTTATGCAAAAGAAAGATGAGCCAGATCCTTCTCTGCTCCAGCTGTTCCACCACTCCCCTGCACTTCTGCCCCTGCCATCGTGCCGGGAGGGCTCTGGGCTGACTGCAATTGTCCGCTCTGTGTGACCACCCACCCCGCATTAGCCAGGACCTCTTTAAATGACCATCGTTTGTCCCACCGGTTGCACAGACCCTTCTAGGAAGCAGTTGGACCAATTCATTCTGTTAAATAACGAAATAACGTTCAGTGCAAACTGACAAACTGTGTACAAACACCTCAGAGTGGAGTCCCAGGCTCTAGTGCTCGGGCAGGACACAGCCTCCGCCCAGGCCTGGGGAGATCTGGCCTGGGGTGAGAGGCAGAAAACAGCCATGTGTCCCTAAATACCCCTGGGAGCAGCTCCATGGCTCTAGAGACTCTGCTGGCCTAGTTACTGCTCCAAGACAAATGGATGGGCTTGAGCCAGGGTGCCACCTGCTCTGAGCGAGGAGGGACTTGCAGAGATTCTCCAAGAATAGTTAGGAGCAGGCAGGTGGAGGAGGCTGGGGACGGACGTGGCACATCAGTGACGGCTGGTGCCACTGCCTGCTGCTGCGTCTGTCACGGAGAACTTCCCTACAGCGGAACGGGGCATAACCAGCCTAGACCAGCAGGTTATTGGTGCTCAACTGGAGCTCAGTGGGGGATTTAAGCACTTGCCCCGGGTGTCTGTGTGTGTGTGCTCTGATCCAGCTCTTTGTAGGTTGTCCCGCTCCATCCCTGTCCTGTGCTGCCTGTGTTTCGGAGGGGAGTGCTGTGAGGCTCGTTCCTTGCTGGGCACGGAACACCCTGTAAATATTCAGTGGCTGTGATCTTCCCGCTGCTGCTGCGGCGAACGGCGGTGCGGTCTCCTGGATACCTGCACAGGTCAGGCTTTGCTCGCCCGGGGTTTAAAAAATGTAGCAGAAATAGTGTCTTATTTCTTAAAAAGAGTTATTTAATGGAGATTCGTGTCCAGCCTCAGGCCTCACAGCACAAGCCTCAGCTCCCATGCAGACTGCAGAGCTCCGTCGCCTCGGTCTCTACCGCCCTACGGGCAACCTGAGTTTAGCTGATGCTCAGCGCGCGGGTGTCTGATGTTCCTGCCCTGATGAGAGGTGTTTGGAGAGGCAGAAGCTGCGTGGGGTGTTGCAGGGCACGGAGCAGGCTCGGCGGGATGCGCCAGGGAGCTGTGCTGTGTGGAGCTGCCTGCGCGGTGCTGGAGAAAGGAGCCTCTGCTGCTACGTGGGGTGGTAAAACATTTGCGGAGGGTGATGACAGGCACCCAAGATGGGGCCATTCCTCAGCCTCTCCCACAGGGAAATAGTCCATGTTCTGGATTCAAGGTCCAGTCCATTGCAGGGTTTTGCTGGAGCAGAAGAAGGGAATGTGATTTTTGATAGTTTCTGGTTTCTTCAAAAATTGATACAGATCTTTGTGTGCCTTCAGTGTCGTTCCCAGCCAGACAACAACCCCAGAGCCCCAAACCCACAATTTCCAAACAGTGTGCTGCAGGCACGTGGAGCAGTGCCGAGCTGGCTTGTCCATGCAGACCGATTCTCCTGCGGCTGGGGGGGGGGACCAGACACAGATGCTCGGGGTAGCATCCCCGAGCCTCCCGAGCCATCCCCGATCTGCCTACAACTACCTCTGCCTACAACTCCCTGAAAGGAGGTTGTGGAGAAGTGAATGCTGGTCTCTTCTCCCTAATGACAGATGATCGGACGAGGGGGAATGGACTCAAGCTGTGCCAGGGGAGGTTTAGATTGGATGTAAGGAAGAAGTTCTTCACCGAAAGGGTTATCACACACTGGAACAGGCTGCCCAGGGAGGTGGTGGAGTCACCATCCCTGGATGTGTTTAAGAGACGGGTGGATGAGGTGCTGAAAGATATGGTTTAGTGGTGGACAGATACGGTTGGACTGGATGATCTCTAAGGTCTTTTCCAACCTAGTGATTCTATGATTCTATGATCCCCTCTTTATGCCATGGGAATCTCCACGCGGTTGTGATGGAGAAACAGGCGGTCTAGGGGCAAGCCATCTGCCTGCCATAGGTCGGTGGTGTGGGTGGCACCTGGGGGTGTGACATCCTCCCCGTTCAGCCTAGAGCAATGACCACTTGCTCTGGTCACATCTCCATCGCGGGCTGTTTCACGGGCTGGCTGGGTGGCGGTGTTGCTCAAGGACACCCCAGGGTGCCAGAGCCGGCTTCACCCCAGCAGAGCCAGTGGCACGGATGCCCTGACGGCGCTGGAGTGAAACCAGCCGGGAGCAGGGCTTGGGCAGCCCACGGGCCCGTAGAGCAGGGCCAGCAGCCACCACGGGCTGCAGCTGTCGCATCCCGGGGGAGCGGTGGCAGCGCGTACCCCAGCGCTCAGCGTCCGGCAATGCTGCTCTACCTGTGCTTGATGGGGCAGCCAGTGTGGCTGGGGCTTAGCCAGCCCGGCTGGCTCAGCTCGGAGCCCATAACCCCCCCAGCCTGAGCCACCAAAACGTCCCGCCAGCCTAAACGTCTCTGCTCGTGCTTCAGGGCGATGCCTGAGGCTGCTCCCATGGCAGAGGTAAGGTGTCCCATCCCACCGCAGCAAAGCTCAAGCCTACATAGACATAAAAAATCAGGAGCAGGAGGCGAAGGCTGGTGGTATCGTGGCGTCCTTATGGCGCGAGTGACCTTGGCTGTGTTGTAAGCGCTCAGCTCTTTTGGAGACCAGACTCACAGAAACTGAAATCAAACAGCTCTTGTGTTGGGAAAACTGCGTTCCGGTAGAAGCATTCAGTTTTTATTGCCATTTACAATGGGGATTTGGAGGAGTTTTGGTATCGAGCCATCACTCTGATCTTTGAAAAAAAAAAAAAGAAAAAAGCAGATTAAAGAAAACCTCCTCGTGATGCTGCGGATGGGAGAAGGGCCCTCGGGGAAGCGCAAAGCTCCGTCCCCGGGATGCGAAGGCCACGGAAGCGTGTAGGCAGGAGTCGCGTAGCGCTGCAGCGCGTCGAGCTGGGACATTGCTGAGCTGTTTACCGGCAGAACAGGCTAGGTCGTTGCTGTTCCCTCTTAAATCGATGGTGTTGACCTGGGTTGCCTGTTGGAAAAACACCACCTGCTTGCTGTCTTGTATCGCTACGTGCCTGTAATCTCTTCGTTTCCTTGCACTCATGCAGAAAACAAGGGAGCAGAGAAAGCGGCAGGGACCCGGAGCTGCCCGACGTGTGTGAAGACGAAGCGACATCCTGAAGCTGCCTGGCTGCCGCCGGCCGGTTGCTCACGTGCTGCTGCTGTTGTGCCCATCGTGGTGTTGTCTAGCACACATCTGCCCTCATCGCCAAGGACGGGGCCTGCAAAGCCAAAAAACCCCATGGACCAAGCCAGAAACCCAGAAAGGAGGAAGAGAGCAGCAGTAAGGAGAAGAGCAGGTCCCCTGGCAGAGGGCTGGCTCGGCCTGGTGGGCGGCTGCCTTCCTCGTGCGAGGTGTCCGTGCGCTGCTCCGTGTGTGCCTTGCTCTCCACTTGTGCTTCACCTGTGGGCTTTGTAGTTGGGTGTCTCGGCTGAGGAATGTGGTTTTATTTATAACTCGGCAAACCAAGCGTCATCTCGTGGGTCGCTCGCCCTGGAGACTTTTTCCTTGCTTTTGGTTTTTATTTTTTTTGCATTCTCCGTTTCAAACATCAGGAAAAAAACCACCATCGGAGCCAGGTCTAATATCAGAGGGCAACGGTTTTACTCGGTGCACGGGGAAAGCCCTTCTGTATACTGGGACACATCCTGCTCCCATCGGAGCTGACAGCAGGATTGCTATGGATGTTGGTTAAATGGGGATGAGATCTTCGTTGTGGAGCACGCGCTGTCACTCTCTATGCCTTTCTTTCTCTTCTTTTCCTCCCCTTACCCCTCGGTTTTGCGCAGCGTAGCTCCTGCCAGCACCGGGGGCTGTGGGCAGGGCGGTGTTGTGGAGTGGAAGAACTGCACCAGGCTCCCGGTCGTGTGTGATGAGCCTTCGAGCGTCGGGGAGTTCTGGAGCACTGGGATTCGCTGGTTCCTGGAAAGGCTCCGTGCGCTGAGGACACCTCCTAACCAAGCGCGCTCTTCCCGACGAGGCGGGATTGCGCTCCGTCAGCTGCGCCCAGCGCCATTGTGGTCAAAGCTGAGAAGAAGTGGCAGGTTTGGGGGTTGGTTTATTTGAGGGTGGTTTCCTTTCCCGCACTCGTCTCTCGGCTCCTTTACAATTCCGTACCTGATGCTTTTAAGTTTTAATTTCCTGATAAATGACCCACGCTGAGGGCGCTCCCTAGGATGGGGAGTGTTGGCGGAGGGTTTTTAGACTAAGGAAAGCTACAGAACACAAATGAGATCAAAACTTGATCTTTTGGGTTTTTTTAAGGCTTTAATTCATAATTTTACTTTAAGACTGTAATTTTTATGCACGTGCCGATGCTGCTATTTTATCCATAGATTGCTTCTAAACTTGGGATTAGAAGCTTCATCTCTACAGTTTAACAGCAGGTGAGAGATTGCACTCAAAAGGGCAAATGCAGCTACTTCAGTGGCTGTTGGCTACACGGACTGTGTCTGTAATCAGGAATTTCACTCTTGCACTCCGAGAGTAAAAACCCGTGACATCAATCCGTCAAAATACGTGTCAATATTTTCCCTTGAGCTTTATGAGGTCTGAACATGGACCCGGGAAGCCAGTGGGACTGGGTTCTTATTTTATAGTACTTAAATAAAGGACACTATTAAATTTGGTTCCTACGTTCCCACCTGACTGTCTTTTTCTGGCTTAATCCTGAGGTTTTGGGACTAAGCCCCCTAATTCTTTCGTGTGAGGGGATCTGCCTACGGGGACTGTTGGTAGTGACTGGTGGTGTCCCGTTCTGTGTACTGTGGTCTAGTTTGGTGGTTCCCGATGTTTTCCCAACGAGGCTTTGCTGCTGGTGCCTTCTGCTCCCCATCCCCAGGCTGCCACCTCCCCTCACTCATCTTCAGCCACCTCAGTGGGATGCCCAGAACCGGTCACCAGCCTGGGCTCTGCCCCACATCTCGCCTGTAAATACTGGTAAATTGGGAAATAGTCTTGGAGCTAATGTATTTCGTTGAGGAGAGCTTTGGTGTTTGAAGCAGGCAAACGTACCCTGTAGAGGTTGCCGCTCCGGGCCTGCGCTGTGCATCCCTCGCGCCCAGATGGTAAATCCTGCCCGCGTTTGTGCGTCTGCCGGCGCCGGCTGCGCGCCCAGCATCCTCCCAGGGCCTGGGGTTCTGTCCCGG